GTTTTGTTGAAGTCGCTTCAGATTTAGCTATAGCTCCTATATATAATTTCGTCCGATTTTAAGTAAAAGGTGCACAAAAGTTAGGCCTTTTTCTACAAAAATTTGCACAACGTACTGAAATTAATATTGTCTAACTTTTGCCCAGTTTTGTAGGAATCGGTTACGATTTAGATATAGCTTCCATATATTAGGATTCATCTGTTGAATATACCCCAAGTGGGGAAGGGTATCATATAATCGGCCCCGTCCGACTTTACTACTTTCCTTACTGGTTTTAAATATACAATTGTGAATTTTTTAATATTTTTGTTTCATGCGGCTATTTCAATAAACATTTAAACGAGGTAAGATTATCGATGAAAATGGGGTCCATCACCGTTTTTTAATGTAAAATGTTATAGGAGACATCTTTCTTTAAGGACTACCAAATCAGTTATGTTTAATTTTTTGAAATCTATTTCCTGATATGAGCCCAAAAATGTTGTTCCGAATATCAAACCTGGTACATATTACGGAGCTAAAATCCCGCAGTTTGCCAACTAGTTATTATCTATCTACCTGTTCTGGATACCTGGTAGGCTTGAGCAATTTCTGAAAGAAAATATCCAGCTGAGCCTGACATCGTTCATCAATTTGTTCCTCTACACACTACCATTGTATTAAGAAGTACTATTAAGTAAATAGTGTTTATTGAAATAAAACAAATAAACAGATTTAAAAAAAATTACTAAAAATGTGTGTCTTTTTATGGACGTCGTCTCTTAGTGGGGGGTTCACAACATTAGTTTCTTAGTAACAATAACGCCCAATGTCACAATAATGGCTCCCAATGAATTTGAAAGAAAAATCCCAAAATTTGGTGCAATTTTGCGCAAATTTCACAAAAATACCAGGCGCCCAGAATAAAGTAGCAAGTTGTCCGCCAAAAAATACAAATTTCGAAAAATTTTGGTCTGGCAACACCCTACACGCGAAAAAAAAAATCGAGCGCCTAAAAGTATGCCACAAATTTTGTAATTTCTTTGTACGGCATTGCCAGATGCAATTTTTTACATTTTTGGCGGGCTACTTACTATTTTCTTCTGGGCGCCTGGTATTTTTGTGAAATTTGCACAAAAAAGGCATACAACCAGGAGAATGAAAATTTGTGACGTCATCACACAAATTATGTCGCATGCGTAGGTGCCTGTATACTTACCATATTTTTTGTATCCGTAAATAAAAACAAATAGCATTTTTAGTAAATTCAGTATTCTTTATTTTTTATTCAATATTCTTTGTAAAAAATATATACATACATTTAAAAATTATATTAAATATAAATTTTAAGAAATAATTTTCTTAACAACTTAGCCCACTTATTTGGACTATATTCTATTGTAGTCCTTCCTTGTGGAATGAATGATTGAGAGATGAGGATAATTCCAAAATATATAGTGATCGTTATCGGCGGGCCTGCCATATTTTCAAATAATTTGTATATCGTTTTCGATTGTCATCATACGGAAATTCGAGCATATATAATTCATAAAAACCTGGAATGGAAAATAAAAGACAAATTAAAAAAATGTATATAAGCATTAAATAATCGTGAAATTTAAAATTAACATTGCCGCCGGAGAGTAGGATTAGAATATGTACGTACTATAATTGGTACAATTTGGATTCGGGGGAACCGATAGAGCGGGAACAATTAAATTTTGAGTCAGGATAACTGCAAGGGCATAGATAGGATTGGGGTCAGGATTCAGTTTAAGAAATTGATACTTATGGGTACTAAATGGTACTAAATTTGGTACAATTTGGATTTTATATGAACCAATAGAGCCAGAATCATGACATTTGGAGAAGGAATCACTGTTGGAGTGTAAGATTGAGATATGTAGGAAGTTTTAGAAATTTGCACTAATGTGTACTAAATTTGGTACAATTTGAATTGTGGGTGAACCAATAGAGTTGGAATCCTGAAACTTGGATTTAGGATCACTGTTGGGTGTAGGATTGGGGTATGTATGAAGTTTTGAAAATTGGTACAACTATGTTCTAAATTGGGTACAATTTGAATTGTGGGTGAACCGAGAGTGTTGGAATCCATAAACTTGGATTTACGACCACTGTGGCAGTGTAGGTTCGGATTAAGTAGGATGTTTTGAAAATTCGTACTACTGTGTACTAAAATTGGTACAATTTGAAGTGTGGTTGAACCGATAGAGTTGGAATCCTGAAACTTGGATTTAGGATCACTGTGTCGGTGTAGGTTTTGATTCAGTAGGATTTTTTGCAAATTGGTTCACCTGTGTACTAAGTTCGGTACAATTTGAATTGTGGGTGAATCGATAGAGTTAGAATCCTGAAACTTGAATTTAGGATCACTGTGGCGGTGTAGGTTTGGGGTAAGTAGGAGGTTTTGAAAATTCGTACTACTAAATTTTGTACAATTTTAATTATGAGTGAACCGATAGTGTTGGAATCCTGAAACTTGGATTTACGACCACTGTGGCGGTGTAGGTTTGGATTAAGTAGGATGATTCTGAAATTGGTACCACCGTGTACTAAATTTGGAACAATTTAAATTGTTGGTGAACCTTTAGAGCTCGGAGAACCTTTAGAGCTCGAATCATGAAATTTGGAATGCGAATTAAGGTTGAGAAGTAGGGTCGATATAAGGAGGTGGTTTTGAAATTGTGTACTCATGTTTACGAAAAATGCTATATGGTACTGTATTTGGTACAATTTGTAATAGGAGGTCCAAATGGAGCTGGAATGCTGAAATTTGAAATTAACATTACCGCCGGAGTGTAGGATTGGAATATTTACGTAGTTTTGGATTTTTTTTACATACGTGTACGAATAGTACTATATTGTACTATAATTGGTACAACATGGATTTGGTTGAACCAATAGAGCTGGTATCCTGAAATTTGGAGTTATTATCATTGTTGGCGTGTAAGATTGGGGTATGTAGGGAATTTTGAAAATTCGTACTAATGTGTACTATATAGTACCAAATTTGGATTTGGGTGAATCGATATAGCTGGAATCTTGACATTTGGAGTTAGAATCACTGATGGCGGTAGAATTGGGCTATTTAAGAAGTTTTGGAAATTCCTACTAATGTGAACTAAATTTTGTTCAATTTAAATTTTGTGTGAACCGAAGTATGACGTTTTGGAAATTTGTACTAAATTGTACCAAATGTGATTTGGGTGAACCGATTGAGCTCTTAAAATTTGATGTTAGGATCACTGTTAGGGTGAAGAATTGGGCTAAGTAGAAAGTTTTGAAAATTCGTACTAATGTGTACCTTATTTGGTACAATTGAAAATTTGGGTGAACTAATACAGCTGGAATCCTGAAATTTGAAGTTAGGGTTACTGTTGCGGTCTAGGATTGGGATATATAGACAATTTTGGAAATTTGTACTAATTTGTACAAAATGGTACCAAATGTGGATTTGTGTGAACTAATAGAGCTGGAACACTGAAATTTGGAAATTATGGTACTGTTGGAGTGTAGGATTGATGTATGGATGTAGTTTTGGAAATTCATATTTATGAGTACTAAATGGTACTAACTTTGGTACAATTTGAATTTTGGGTGAACTGATAGAGCTGGGATCCTGAAATTAGGAGTTAGGATCATTGTTTGGATGTCGGATTGGACTTAGTAGAAAGTTTTGGAAATTCGTACTAATGTGTACTAAATTGTACCAAATTTGGTTTTGGGTGAACCGATAGAGCTGGAATCTTAAAAGTTGATGTTAGGATCATTGTTGGGATGTAGGATTAGGCTTTGAATAAAGTTTTGGAAATTCGTACTTGGTGTGTAGTGTTGAGATATGGAGGTAGTTTTGAAAAACGTACTACAAGAGAACATAGGTACTAAATGGTTCTAAAACTTTAATAATGGTCGGTATTGGATTTTAAATACTTCCCACATTCGCTAACGAAGTAGCGGGTATATGCTAATAGAGATATAAATACCTAACATACGCCGGGGCATTTATGTTGGTCTAGTTAAAAACACGGGCCTATATTACAAATGTCCTTTAACTATTTTTTTCGCCATAAAAGAGCTTGGTATATTGATATATGGTATATAAATTTATTTATACTCACCCCTTTTAGTGTCAGTTAATTTGTCCAGGTCCTCCTTCGAAGCAGGAAACTATTTGTACCACTTCTCAGAGTTCAGGTATTTGAAATAAGGTCGCTGAGGAACTATTATTCTGTTATTATTGATAACTACTTTGTCGTCAATAGTAGAGAAGCGATTCCATTTCTCAGTGCCAAAGTCAGTGAATTGCAAAATTATTCTGTTATTACAGAGTACTGCTTTATTTCAGTTGTTCTTTCAATTAAATTATTATTGCTCATTGGTAGCATCAAGGACGTTCGGGAACAACTTCATATTCGCCGCACCATTTTTTTTGTTATAGGATATATTAATTTTTATTTTTACACAAATCCGAACGATTCTGACAGATAACTTTGCAGAAATTGGGCTTATTTGCCGTTGGACCCATTAGCTTATGAACCTATAATATACAACGCACCTGCCATCGACAAAGAATATCAAATCTTAACATTGTTCCGTTTGAATGGTAGGCTTTTTATGTTTTGACTAAGATGGCAACTTACCTGGTCATGACTGAGCACACATTTCCAAAAACAATCAATTTAAATCTGAGAAGCCCTTCCGCAACAGGATCACAATTTTCGACAGTTTTAAATACAGTAACAACAAAATTTTCAATGGGCTCCACATCAGCGTCAACACTGGGTTGCCAAGCGTGCAAAAATACATTGTTCGCCATTCGATCTACAGATCCCCTCAAACAAAGCAACAGCTGTATTTTCATGTTGTTCTCTTCCTCCTTTTTCTATACAAACACTAGGTCTTGTTCGAATTCTTCTTTAATTCCTAATTCTTATCAAATAATCTGGTGTTTACATTTAAAATTCTTCCCTCGTAGATTCGCCTCCCCTCCCATTGAGCAAATGAATGCCGTAATAGCTTTATGCCATTTTTGTGAAGCTCATGGACCATCGGCCATCTTTTGTACACAAACTTTGCGCGATACCAAATTAGAAGATTTGTATTTCAATGGTCCCCAAAGTCCGACGGAACCTGGGCACAAACAATGTCCCGCCTGTAATTCAGTGGGTATGACAAATGGTTTGTATAGCAAGGATAATGAAAGTGGAGCGACATTTTTGAGTACCCAAGTATCACCTCTGCCCGATGTTGCAACATTGGTGAAGCAGGCAGCTGTGCGTAGCCTTAGCTGTGAGATTACACACAGCAAAGATGGTGGTTTTGTGTTTTTCGGAGACACCTCAAGAGGTCACGTGCTAAGCCATACCTTTCACGTCAGTGATTTGCAGGTGAGGTGAAAAACAAGTTTTGCTTTGTTTTCAATTAAAAATAATAACTAATTGAATTGTGATGTATTTAGGCCCGTGGATTTTATCAATTATTCTCGATTATAATATTAATGAAGGACAAATATTTCCTACTGAATACCAAACCATTTTTGGCTGAACATTTAAGGCGAATATCTCTGGAAACGCAAAATAGTGCCAAACGTGTTAAAGAAAATGAAGAGTTGAAGGGTTCACCAAGACAACGTAGGTTGTCGGGTTCACAACCATTGGTCCAAACACCCAGATCTTTAATAGAACTAACGGGAGAAGAAAACATTTTTGCCATCTTACATACACATTTCTCTTGGCTTCTATTAGCTGGTTCCAGATTTCTTACCGAACATGTTACATTCGGTAATTTACCATGGCTACCGCCACAAAGTACCAGTCATCCGCCACAGCAAAGGCTTACATATAACATTACCACCCTGCCAATGATACAGAAATATGAAACCCTTGATGATCCGGAAGAATTTTATTCGCTAATACACCTCAAACAGTTGCTAAAGAAGACGGAATTTATTTCGCTGTGTTACTGTGCTTTAACGGGTGTTAAGGTAGGGTTTTAAGGTCGACTTTTAACAAATGTAATTTATCAAATTGCGACATTTCAGATCATTGTTCGCGGTGATGCCAGACGCACATTTTATTTTATGATGTGCCTCAAGAAACTTCTACCCGATCAAATGCATTCTCTGATACGCGTTGATGCCCAGCATCAGCATTCCATTAGTGCAGATTATAAAATTATATCAATATCGAATGAAATTGCAGTACCCATGGCCAGTTCTTCAATTTTCCGTGTAGATTTTCTACCAGAGACCGATGATGGATGTGACATCTCCATTAAATGGCCGGGGACAGTACCAAATAAGTGTAAGTACACAGGGGCGTGGGAAGTGCGACAAATTATGACAATTGTTTACTGGTGGCTTAGAAGACCTTAGAGATGAAATTCTAGAACCAATATGAGATGACGGTATAGATTGTTAAAAGAATATTTTTAAATAGGTCCAAGGGTTGACATAGCCACCATATCTAGATTCCGTCCCCTTTTTAAGTATTTTCTAAAATTTTCTTTATTTTATTTTAGTACCCGATTTATTGGTGAAACTTTTAAAGGCCGTCAATGAAACACGTTTCACAGAGCTGGTGTTAAATCGTCATACTAAGGTATTAGTGGAAGAATGGAAAAAGTATGTAAACACGATTTGTTTAAATTAAATTTCAAACTTCATTTAACACGGTTTCTTTTAGCAAGGTGATATGTTTAAATCATGCCAAATCCGCAAATGGTCAAAATAAACTCAAACGAGTATTAGGTGTCCAGCCACAGGATCAAGCATTGATCAATTATTGGAGTGCCCATTTGCATTGACAATTGATTTGTGTATTTTAATTAGGCAATAATTCAAAAAGGGAATTGATAAATGATGATGTCCATTTAAGTATTTCATTACCAAGTAGTTTGTATGTAGTTATAAGAATTTGTATTAATATAAAGTATATTTTATTTATTTAATATGTATCAAGGTGTAATTTTTAATAAATATATTTTTCAACATCTATACCAGGTGTGGATTTTTTAAATATTTTGTCAACATCTATCCAAGATGTGGATTTTTAAAAAAATATTTTTATCTAACTTCAATACAAGGCTTGTATTTTTTAAATATATTTTTCAACATCTATACAAGGCATGGAACGCTACTCAACTCAAACTCGTGAAACGATACACCTCGTCATGGTGAAGACATATTGTTGAATATAATAAAACATATTTTTTTTAAATATATACGTATATATATTTTCTTATATAACAATTATGTATATAAAACTAAACAATTTTATTTGGATCCACCATATCTATAGCCCTAAATATAATTTCATATTTGGGAGATTCGACGGAGGTAACACCTTCCGGTGATTGTTCCATACTTTCACCTTTCGTTTCACTAACATTTCCATGATCCACCTCCTCTTCCGGTTGACGCGCATGTACTTTCTTATGTTTATAATACGATCCCGGCCAACGAAAACTTTTATCACATTCCGTACATGAATATGGCTTCGCTGCTTCGGTGTGTAGTTTCAAATGCGTCTTCAAACCCGATTGCCATTTAAATTTACGACCACACACCATACACACATATTGATATTCACCCTTGGCATGGACATTTTTATGCGAAGCCAAGCCGGATGGGTAAGTGAATGTTTTACCACATTCCTCACAGCTATAGGGTTTTTCACCACGATGTGTCATCTCGTGGAATTTTTTCGTTTGCAATGAGGTGAATTTTCCATCACAGAAATCACATTTGAATAATTTATAATTCGCCGGTTTCTTCCCCTCGTGAACACGATGCACATGTGTTCGCATGACACCCACACTTTTGAATACTTTCGCGCAAAATTCACAAGGATATTTTTGTTCGAATGTGTGGCAATTAATGTGGATCTTTAGCTCGGTGCATGTGGTCTTGCGTACTCCGCAATAGGGACAAATGTAATTCTTAATGCCGGCATGTCGTTTCTTGTGTATTATCAGCTGGGACATTAGACGAAATCGTCGCCCACAGCTCTTGACCTCACACACAAATGGCCATTCGGATTTATCCACATGTATGTATTTGTGACCATTGAGTGAACGTGGACTGGTCAGGACTTTGCCGCAAATATCACAGGTGTAGGTTTTCAATTCTTTGCCACATTTATGGACACTTCGTTTATGTTTGTTGAGACCCGATAAACATTTGTACTCCATAATGCAGCCATCAATGTTACATTGAAAAACATCGGGAATGCCATTATGTTCATTAAGATGACTTCTCAAGTGATCCAAACGATTAAAGGCACGTGTGCATTTGTCATAGGTACATGGATAGCCCGGCAATCCCTGATGTTTACGGCGGTGAGCTTCGTAACGATGACGAAAACGGAAATGTTTCTTGCACAGCTCACATTTAAGTGTGGATTTTTTAGTAGCATCTTCTTTCGTATCTTCGGATGCAGAGGAATAGTTCGAGATGGACTGGAAAAATACAAAATGCCAAATTAAAGCCACTTCGGTGCATATATTTTGCACAGTGCTATAAAAAAAATTGTATACAATAAGCAAATGGGATATTCACCTCTTCAAAATCTGATCTATTTTGTTGGTAATCAACATCATCAGACGCATATTTTTCCTTAGCAGCTATTGAATCCTTTTCCAAAAGTATTTCCTTATTACTGGCTGGATCTTTTCTCTTTCGAGTGCTTCTTCTTCTGCGTGGGCTATGGCCAATGTCGTGTACCTCTTCAGGTTTTATAATAATTTCTTCAAATATATTTTGCTCTTGAATACTCTTTGGATGTTCTTCCTTTACATTTTCCACAACAATTTGCTCTTCCAGGGGATCTTCAGCATTATTATGTTGTTGTTCCTCATCTCCACTATTTTCGTGGTATATGTTTTCCTCATTTATATCATAAGAATTATCGAACTCCCCAGACAATATGGAGCACTTTTCATCTTCTCCATTTTCGGCCACAAAATTCAGTTGATTTTCAAGCAACATAAATTTGAATTTTTCCATGGATTCGCGATACATGCATTGAAAATTATGAAAATCTAATATTTTATCATAACATTGCTGGCACACAACATGAGGATAATCATCCCAAGGTACACACTCCACATTTACACATTGCATTAATTTCTTGTCCAGTTCAATATTGGAATTGAAAATATCATAACTAAGGGTAGAAATAACATCATCGGCTGTTGGTTTAAGATTACACAAACAAACTCGACAGTATATATCACGTTTGGACATCTTGGCTAGGTTTTCAATGAAATTGCTGGAATAACAAGTTATTTTTCCAATGAGGAATATAATTGCCTGAGGAATATAATTGTCATCTTACCCATTGGAATTAATGTGACCATTTAGAAATGACATAGCCTCGAAATATCTCCAATTGGATTTGTATTCTTTGAGTGCTCCTATTTCCTGCTTTCTAACTTGTTCACATGCGTAACGCTTCTTCAACAGAAGCCATGACGATTTACATTGCTGGACTGAATGGGAAATATATAAAAAAATTATATTGATTCGTATGGTCAGTTCCCAACCTACTTACCACTTGCACCTACAGCAGCTGCAATTTTATTCCAGGCTTGTTGGGTCACCTGTTTCTTGCCATGTTGTGGATGGGCTTTGTTGTATAGGAATTCATATTTTTTAACTTCCTCTATCAACGACTCGTACAACAAGTCGTTTTCAGACATTTTTCCAAAAGAAAATCAAATTGTGCGTCTCCCTATTTACAAAGGCACTAGGGTCTGACGATTATTACGAATATGGTAAAAGGGAAAATCAACGAAAACGCAATTATGTTACGAATGAAAAAGCGAAGTAAAGAAGGCTAAACACATAATGTTTACGAATGGAAAGTGGCAAATGAATAAAAACAGCTGATTCACTAAATGAAAGTTTGGAAGGCTGGATCACATCATGTAATTTTTTTTAAACAACTGGACCAAAATTCAGCTAAAATTGCAAAATAAACGAAAATGCACAGTTGTTACAGAAACAGTTATTCATTAAAAGAACCTATGGTCTCTATTATAAAGACCTGTGGTCTCTTTTATGACCAATTGGTCTTTATAAAGACCTGTGGACTCCATTAAGACCAATTGGTCTTTAAAAAAAACTTTTTTTTATTTATAATAATTATATTTTAAATATTTATATTCCAAATTACAATAACTTTTTCGACAGCTGATTGTACCAACTGCTGTTCTGATACGGCTACCTTATGAAAACTGCGTTGCTTTGGCGCTTCGCACACATTAAAACATGCAGCTTAACGCCGACAAAAAGACGCATGGAACGCATCGGCATGGCTCCGATGTTTGGTGTTTTTAGGCATTCAGCAGAAGTAAAACAAAGCGCGTTTTCTGCTAAAGTAAACTAAAAATAATAAATTTATTTACAAAAATTAATCATTGAATACAAATAGTACTAGAAGCGGATTTCGCGTTTATGTTTCTTTTCGTATTTGAGTGTTTATGAAACCACTGGTTTAATCGAAGCGTGCGTGGCTCGTGAATAGACCAATCTGTTTGAGGCCGAAGCATGTAAATATCGTGTCGCCGCAAACTACGTAAAGAAATATTAATTCGAAGCAAATGTTTTCTTTAATTTTAGTGTGCTATTTATCCGAAAATGTTTGAATTACAATTGATTGCTGAAGTCGAGAAACGACCACTAATATATAATAAAGAACATGCTAATTATCGCCACAAGAAACTTAAGGCTAAAGCTTGGCGTGATATATCAAAAATTGTCGGGAAATCTGGTAAGTCGAAACGAAGTTAGCATTTTGAATGGCCTTGAAAATCGAAATCTACGCCTTATTTTGAGGCTTCTATTTAAATATGCGCCTTTTTTGAAAATGTTAATAACTCTTCCTACCATAAGTGGGGGAAATGTTAGTCATTCCGTTTGGAACACTGGAAATTGGAAATGACCTCCGGAGACTCCATAAGCCAAATAAATAAATGATTTAGCCTTTGGAATTTTTCACGTAATTAGTAATTCTAGGATGTTTTTTACATAAAATGGATAGAACGGTACCCACCATTTGTGCATGTCCGTCTGTTGCAATCGAATTCATTCATTGTTACTGCTCCTAGAATGTTTGGTACTGAAAATGGGACATGGTGCACATTTTGGTACCCCCAAATATTTGGTATTTTGGTTATTTTCGGCACATTTTTAGCCGATTTGGTTGTAATTTGGTGCCTTGAGTTCCCATTGTGTAGTAAATCTTCCTACTAAAAATCAATATCGGTCCGCATTCATTTTAATTGACTGTAATTTAATATTTTGAATTTTCAATGGGTACCAAATCTATCTTCCAAAAATTATCAATATTGGTCCACTTTTTAGGATAGCTTCTATATCTCTCTACCAAAAATTATCGTATCGGTCCACTTTTTAAGACTTCCCCATATAACGGCACACCCCATTTTTCGATATTTTGGAGAGTTAGGGCAAATTTTGAGTACCCATTTTGTAGAAAATTTCCTTACGAAAAATTGTTGATATCGGTAATTTATTCGGTAATTTTTTAACAGAGTTGGCTGTAATTTAGTACATTAAGGTCCCATATAACGGTACTCCCCATTATTCGGTATTTTATGGATTTAGGCACCTTGGTCAGCTATTCCAAATCGAATTAACTGTAATTTGGTACTTTCAGTTCCTGGTTGGGTGGCAAATCTCCCTACCAAAAATGACCGATATTGGTGCAATTTTAAGTGGGGAGTTTGGACTCTTTTTATTTAATTGGTTGTCAATTCATACCAAAAATTTACCATGGCATTTAAATCCATTTATTTTTATTTATTTATTTATTCATCTTAATTTCAAAGTCCGAGGACCACATTGAAGAAATTAATAATCTACATTTTAAAATTGACTTATTAATTAAACACGACAATAAAAGCGGACAATAAATAGTAACCTATCTACATTTCACTAATTATTAGAACGAAAACTAGCAAAAGTAGCAGTTAGCTACAAAAAAGTCCAAAAGAAATATCTGTCTCCAGACTAAAATTCTACTCGAAAGTAAGCAGAATAAAAGTATATATAATTTAACATAAGATCATGACATAAAATAAGTACAAAAATGTTTATAAAAAAAGTTACTTGAAAATTGGTATACAGAAAAATATATTAAAAATTAAATAAAATATATAAAAAAAATAATTATTATTAAATAAAAATGAAAATATAATTAATTTAGAATAAAATCTACTCATTTATGAAGGTCCCGAACAATTATTGGTATTTTATTCGTCCGTCTCATAGAGGAGGATATTAAAAAATCGCCCCGTCCGAACTTATACTTACTTAGATCATTTCATTGCCCCCTATATTCCATGTAGGTTTTAACGTATTTGGGGATTTGTGGCCATGCCAAGACCAGCTACACGACAGAATCTCATTTTAAAAAGAAAATATTTTTTTTTAATTTATATATTTTTATTTTAGTCGAACAATGTTGCACACGTTGGAAATCGTTACGTGAACGCTTTGCCAGAGATTATAGAACATTAACTAAATCCAATTGGGAATATTTCAAAGAGATGTCTTTTTTGAAGGATTACATACCTAGAAATAGGTGAGTTTTATTATCTCTTTTTTTTTAATTGTTGTTAAATAAATAATACAAATAATTTGTAGTAACATCGATCCAGATATGGAAAATGAAGCCAAACATGAAACTTTTTTGGAAGGCCTAATCGAAGAAGTTCAGCGATATAAATTCCTTTATGATACCGAGAGTCGTGACTATGATAATGAGCAATTAAAAAATGAAGCATGGCTGAGAATTGCTAGGGCCACTGGCACAACAGGTATGTTATATTTTACAGCAATTCAAGGTATAATTCAATTGATAGCTATTTATATTGCAGCCGATGAAAGTCGCATGCACTGGAAATCGTTATGTGATAATTTCACCACAGCCTATTTGAATGAAAATAGAACTGAATGGAAACCATATTATATGGGAATGATATTTATGGTGGACTATTTAGATTTAAAATCGTAAGTTTTTTTAATTTAATTTGTGGCGCAATTTTGAAAATATGTATTCTTTTATTTTAAGTGCTACGAAATTGGACTCAAAAGACAGCCTTGCAAAGGCATCGACAACGGATCCTGCTGCATCATCAGATGTGGATTTTAATGAACAATTAGTAAAGAACGTGGAAAAGTACAATTTTTTGTATGATTCCAGCAGTGCGGAATATAATAATTTGATGTTAAAAAATCTAACTTGGAGGAAAATTTCCAGAGATGTAGGTGAACCAGGTTAGTTATGAGAAATATTTTGTACTTTCTTTAATGCCTTTTCACGTTAAGATGAAGTTTATATTAACATCTGTCGCTTAGTATGCAACGCCTCGAAATAAAGGACGAACACATATATATGCAGAACATTTTGGATAAAGACCCTCCAGTCCTAGCCACAGCCACAAAAATGGCTCTATATTTTCGGTATTTTTGAGGCTTAAACCGCATTTTCTTTGGCATTCAATCAGAGATCTTAAAGCGTGCAAAACGTATTTTTTTAATTTTTCTATAAGGACCACGTTTATAAGACCATGTAGCTTATGACCCCCAACCATAGCCCCGTTCAATTTCTGTATTTTGAAGCAGACAATTTACAATATATAATCAAAGTCCCATTTAATTTTAAGTATTTGAAATATCCACTTTATGATGGAGGTTATAAAAATTTGGGTCCGTCCAAACGACTTACTTCTTCTAACTTTATATTATTTTCTCGTTCTAGCCGAAAAATGTCGTTTACGATGGAAATCTTTACGTGATCGTTTTATTAAAATCATTAAAGAAGATAATCCCGAACAATGTGTATGGAAATATACGAAACTCATGTCATTTTTGGCAAAACATGTTACGATGTATGTAATGAATATTGTGGGGAGTTGTAAAAAAAAGAATATCTATTTATATAATGCTTTTCTTACAGCGGCGGGAGAAAAAGTACGAAGGCTGAAAAAACGGAAAAACCTAGTGACAGTAAAAATGGATCGTTTGAAAGAAGTCTATTGAATGAAATCTTAAAATATCCCTTTATATACGACAGAAGTAATGTGAATTTTCGAAATAGGCTATTAAAAGATGAGATTTGGACAAAAATTGGCGAAACTTTAGAAAGTACAGGTTAACATGGATTCTCATTTTATTTTATCGCAGTTTTGCTAAATTATTTTTTATTTGCAGAAGAAAGATGTCGCTGTCGTTGGAAATCCTTGCGTGAACGTTTCGTAAAAGAATATTTAACAGTCGTATCCATTGGTTCTATATCTCAATGGAGATTTTACGAGGATATGTCGTTCATGTTAAATCATCTTGATAACATAAAAACGTATGTAATATTTATTTTACAAAGGGAAATTTAAAACAAAGGATACCAAATTCACAAAAAAAACTTAGAATATATAACACTAAGCTAAACTAAATTTACAAAAAAAATAATCTAATTGAAAACAATTCTAATTTGCTATCGTTAATTTAAATATTTTCGTTTTAAATATTCCACCTGTATAGCGATGAAACAAAACACAAAGCTGACACATTTGAACAACGCCTAATAGCGGAAGTTCGAAAACATGAATTTTTATACAATCGAGATCATATTGATGCACGCAATAAGGAGCTAAGGCAACAAACATGGGAGGATATA